CTCTTTCACAAAGCACAGTGTTTTTAAAGATGCAAAATATACTGGTAAGATTCATTATTCAATAATGATTATTCAATAATAAAAATTATTCAATAATATATATGATACATTTTATATTATTGTTACAATAATGTTCATAAGAAAAAAGTAAAATAACAAAATTTCTTTAAAAATTTAAAATCATTAAAAATTATTATAGTTTTAATTTTTAATAATTAAAAATTATTTAATGTAAAAAAAAACTGATTACACAAAAATAATATAAAAAAATTATTTTTTTTATATATAGGACGGTGGCTAAATGGTAAACCACATGGTTCTGGGAAATTAGAGTGGTCTGATGGACGTAAATATGCAGGACAATTTCACAAAGGTATTATTCATGGTTCTGGTAAAATGGAAATTCCATCACAAGGTGTATATGAAGGACAGTGGAAAGATGGTCAACAGAATGGATATGGAACAATGAAGTTAGTTTCTAAATAATGATTGAAATTTAATGCAAAATAGTATATTATTTTAAATAAAATATAAAAATATAAAAATATTCTAGATATAATAATGGAGATTTTTATGAAGGATATTTTAAAGATGGTTTACCACATGGTCATGGTGTTAAAAAAGAAGGTCATTTCATGGCATCTGTAGCATCAGTTTACATTGGAGAATGGGCTGCAGGTGTTAAACAGGGATATGGAATTATGGATGATATTATGACAGGTATTTATTATCTACAAATATTTATAAGTTTTTTATAATCTAATTAAAGACAGAAAAAAAATTGTTATTTTTCTAATAATTAATAAACATAAATATGCTTATATAAATAAATATTAATTAACTAAGTAGTATAACATTTTAGGAGAAAAATATTTAGGATCATGGAGTAATGGTATGAAACATGGTTGTGGTTTAATAGTAACTTTAGATGGTATTTATTATGAAGGATTTTTCATGCAAGACGTTTTAACGGTAAATAATTAAAAATTTTCTAAATTTTTATATATATAAATTTAAAAATATTTATATGAAATGCTTATAATAAAAGGGTCATGGAGTTATGGTATTTGAAGATGGTACTCATTATGAAGGTGAATTTAAATCAGCTGGTATTTTTTATGGTAAAGGAACATTAACTTTTACAAGTGGTGAACGATTAGAAGGTAATATGAATGGTGCATGGAATGAAGGTGTAAAAGTTATTGCAACATTACACATGAATAAAGCTAATGGAAATATACAAAGTTATTCAAAACCAATGTAAGTAATTTATCAATTAATATTTACTTTAATGAAATTTTAAATTTATATATTTTTTATTATATAGATCTTTCGGAAAATTATGTGTATCGCCAGATCAAAAATGGAAAGCTATATTTAGACAGTGTTATCAACAACTTGGTGTACCTGAACCAGGTTCAAAAACTATGAGTGTAGTTGATAAGTCTGCTGAGACTCAACGTGTTTGGCAAAATATTGCTAGCATAATAACTAAGTCGCATCAAAAAGCTTTACAACGAAAAAAGCATCTGACAATTACAAGTATTAATAAAGAAAAAAATAATGAAGTAATTGATGAATTAGATAAGATTCCTTGTTTTGGAAGAGACAAACTTACTATTCAAAGCTATAGTGAAATTCACAAATATCTAATTAAAGCATTCGATAGTTCATATCACCCATTAGGAGCACTTTTAACAGAAGTTGCTGCTGTATATACAGCTACCTATGGTGGTGTAAGAGTTCATCCTTTATTACTTAGTCATGCTGTATCTGAACTTCGTAGTATTACTTCAAGAATATATGAAATAGTTGTCTTATTATTTCCGGCATTACCACGAGGTGGAAAAGAATATGTATTGGAAACAGAAAAAAACGAAGAAGAAAGGTACATTTTAATTAATTATTTACATAAATTATGATTTTTTATTATTTATGTTATTTTATTTTATTAGTCAAGTTATAAGCGCTGCAGCAATACTTCATCCAATATTGTTACCTCGTGTGCATTCGGCACTTTTTGTACTATATGCTTTACACAATAAAAAAGAAGATGATGCCTATTGGGAAAGATTAATGAAATGGAATAAACAACCTGATATAACACTTATGGCTTTTCTGGATATTGATCAGTAAGTAATCAGTAGTTAAAAACATAAAACAAATAATAAGTATTATTATCATATATGTATTATATTTTTTATATCATTTATTAAATTTCCGAGATTTATAATAAAATTTTAGAAAATTTTGGAAAAATTCAAATGTTATGAATTTGAATGAAAATGGATTACCATATCAAAATGAACCATACTTCAGCGAGGCAATAGAAACATTACAACAACTGAAAACCACGTTTTCTCCGTTAGAGAAATTATTAGTCGTTAGAAATACATTTGAACAAATGACACAAGTAAGTTAGCTTCTTTGTATATATGTAATTATTATATCATTATTTATGCATAAATCTTATATACTATTTATAATAGGCAGTTCAAAAGCAATTGGGAACTACATATTTGTGGACAATGGATGAATTGTTTCCTGTTTTTTGTTTTGTGGTTGTTCGTGCCAGTGTATTACAGTTGGGTAGTGAAATACATTTTATAGAAGATTTTATGGAACCTTATTTACAGAATGGAGAACTTGGAATTATGTTCACTACTCTTAAGGTAAAATATCATTTTTCTAGAAAAATTACTTAATATCTAGAAGTTTAATTAATATGTATATTTTTTAGGCTTGTTACTATCAAATATTACAAGAGAAAATTAACGTGGGTGACTAAATACAACAAAATAATTTCTATACATAAATAAAAGTATAAGTTACAAAGTAAGTTTTAGTAATAATTTATTAAAGTACATTGTTAATATAATAAATAAATAAAATATATGCATTATGTCACAAATTAGTACCTCAAAATATAATATTTAGCTGAAACAATATAATTTAATGAAATGTTAAATATTGTAAAACGAATCATTTGTGTATCATAATTGTTAAAAGTTATAAACATATTTATTATAAATAGTAAAAATTGATGCTATGATATATATTATCAAATCTTAATAATTTAAATAATGAAATTACATATCAAATTCTATAAAACTATTAATGTACAGTGTATATACATTTAGAATGAATTTAAAACTTTATTTATTTATGCAAATTTATTTCTATATTATTTTAGTTTTCAATTATTTATTTACATATATATTTTTATACATTATTTTAGTTTTCAAAATAGACTAAATATTTGTAAAAAAAAAAATTATATACTTGAATATATTGTTGTAATTTTAAGCATCAATGAATTTCAATTTCAATAAGCATTTATATATCGTTATTGTAAAATAATTTTTAATATTTCTTCAACTGTTAATTCCAATATTATATACACAATAATATAATTGTATAATTGTTTAATTTACATAACTGCCATAAAATATTATTTAATATTAATTTAATAATCTTTCTTTATTCTATATCATATTATCAAATTATGTCATTAATGTAAAATGAATTATATTTAAAAAATGTTGATTGAATAATTAATGACATATTATATATTTATGTTATACATATATTTCATAGTAATAACATTGCAATATTATATGCAATATCATAATCCTATATAATAATAATAATATAATGATGATCGTAGTGATTAGAATTTTATGTTATACATAATATTGAATATTTATTTTAAATGTAGTACATATAGCTTGTAAGTATCTATATCAAATGAATAAAATTATATGTTTAAAAGCAAATATACTTTATTTGTCTACTAAACATATATATATTTTATAATTTATTTATTTTTATTAAAAAATTTCATTTATTTTTTATAGAAATATGATAAGAAATTAATATGAATTTTGATTTTATTAATTTAAATTTACGTACATTAAATTTTATGTATTGCATAAATTAATAATACTTTATTTCATAAAAAATATATGATATTATTTATTAAAAATACCAATTAAAAAGTATCTTTAAAAAATACAAATGTTTCTTTACATTAAACTGTGAGAATAAATTTTAATAAAATAAATAATTTTAATAAAATTTGTTTTATCATATATATTATTATTTACATGTGTAATATATACAAAGTTAATATATTTATAAAATATTTTTAATCGATTCTAAAGGTTAAAATAAACACAAGTTGATATATAAAAATATAAACCGATTGAGACTTATTTAATAAACAATTTAATTTTGTGAAAATGTTAATGGAAATGAAGCAACAAAATAGAGATAGAGCTATTTTATTATACTTGTGCCTCGTTTCTTTTAATGCAAATTTCAATTATTTATATGTTAACTTAATAAATATAAATAAGTCTCAACTAATATTTTTGTTTTCGTTTGGTCTCTAAATTGACTCTCCAAACGTCTCCCGAATATATTAATTATTATGTTTGCGTGAATGCGCGCGCGTGGTATGTATTATTACATACTCAAATACATGCGAATACATATAAAACTACATATGTAAATATAGTATAATAGATACTAACGAATAAAGAAAAATTGAAAAAGAAAATAAATCAAGTAATAATAAATAAATATATATTTTATATTTTATGCTATTTTTTTTATAACAAATAAACTTCAAATTAAAAAAAATTTATACATTTTTCTGATATTAATTATTTAAAAATATTGCACAAATTCTATAAAAAAAATTTTACATATTTTTAATTATTATATAACTAATATATTCTTACATACATACATATATTAAAATCAAAATTAAACCAATGTTAAGAATATCAAAAAAGAAAATCCAATCTGTGAACTCTTGATGTTTATTTCTATAGTTACTATGTATTCTTTTTAATAAAAAATTCTTAAAAATTCAATTTATATATGTTTGTCTATATATGTACAATAGTTTTATGTAGAATATTTGTTGAAAAACTTTTATGAAACTTTAATAAAATATTTCACATCGTTTGTGATGCGCAGGTTTAACCAGCAACATGATCACGAAGTAATTTAAAGATTATGCGTATATCGTTTCTCTTACTTGAATTAAAACTGTACGTTTAGAAATAGTATATTAACGTAATTATATTTAGATTTGATTATTATAGATATGGAAGTAGTTAGAAGTATATGGAAAAATCCTGTTTTATTATATAAAACCGGACTACGAGCATCATTTAGAAATAGGTATATGACAAGAGTATAACCTAAACATTATTTTATTTCATGATATAGTATGGATTAATATTAAATTGTAAATTCTTGTTTTATAGCAGTATTTTTCTTCTTTTTTATTATTCTAGTAACATTTATTGAAATTATAAAATTAAACTATTCTATAATATTTAATGTTGTATTAAAATATTATTGATTTAGAATATATTTAATTATAAAAATAATATATATATATATATTATAAATATATTATAAAAGTTGTGTTCTATAATCATATTATAAAAATATAGAAATTTGTTTATGTATAAATTTATAAATTTATTTATAAATTTATCTATTTTAAAAAGTTGAATCATATGCTATAAAAATTTACTTAAGAAAAAATATTTGTTAATAAATTTTTTTGTATCATAAATAATTATATCAAAATTTTTCTAATAAAAAATATAAAAAAAAAAAATTCATAATAATTAAGACATATTATAATGTAATGTTAAGACATATCTCAATATATTATATCTCAAAATAAAATAATTTTTTTGCAGTAGTAGTTCTGCATCAAAAGTAACAAAAAAAGAAGATGTTTCTATACAAGACAATGATTTACAATTATCAAATATAAATGCAGATATAAGTAACCAAAATGATATAACATTTAATGCTCTTGTTTCAACTGAAGAATTATTAGCACAAATAGGATTGGCAAGGGAATTTGCAACAGATAGTAAAGTTGAACATCCTTATGTTGATAAATTAAAAAGAGTGCAAATGATTTTATTTGATTTAAGTCATGCTATATTAAAACCGATGCCAGGAAAAAGTAAAGCATTTGAAAGTAAACATATCAATGATTTGGAAGAATGGATAGCAGAATATGCCAATCAACTACCACCTCAAGAAACCTATATTATTCCAGTAAATGATATTTTTATTTTACTTTTTTTATTATATAGATAACTTTATTATATTTTATTTTATATTTCAACAGGGTGGTGGTAAGGCTTGTTCTACATTACATTCAGCGAAAGCAGTATGCAAACGAGTAGAAAGAAATGTTGCATTTTTGGTTCAAGATGGTTTATTGAATAAAGAAGCACAAATATATTTAAATAAATTACAAAACTTCCTACTAACAACATCACGTATTGCAGCCAAATGTGATCAACGTACAGAAAATATTTATATTCCTAGAGTAGAAGTTGAAAAAAATGAGGAAAAGTAAAATTTATGAAAAAAATTTGTAGATTTTTATTTTTATTGTAAAAATAATATAACAATCAAATATTGTATGCAAAATTTATGCGATAATATTTTTTCTAAATGTATCTTCATAGTAGATAAGTTGTAAATATTCTTTGATGAAATTATAATTATCAGTTACTAATTATATTCTATTATTGTATTATTAAATGTACATAGTAATTAAAATATTAAGTAATTATTATGTAAAGACTTTTAATAAAATACTATAAGATATATATTTTTCGATTATGATATATTTTTAAATATATCATCATAAAATGATTCTGATTTATGTGATATTTTGTTACTTTTGTTAAACTATATGTAATTTTATCAAAATATATATATTAATTAATTTAATAAGAAACAATTTTTCTTTATATTATATACATATATTAAAAAATTGTTAGATTATTTGCTGTCAATATCAAATTTTTAATTAGATTTCTGTTTGATTATCTGTACCAAAATTTTTAATTACTTATATATGATACAAAAAACTTTATGAAATAATTATGTTGTAAATAAATATATGGTTTTAAGCATAATAATAAATTACATAAAGGAATATGTATAAAAAAAAAAGGTTATAAGATGATAACAATAATAACATTCAGTAAAATTAATTATTTATTCCAAAACTTCATCTCCTTCAACAATTTCTTTTAAATTAAGTAATTCCAATAATCCTGAACCTTTAGTTTCAGATCTTACTAATTCATTTATCTCTCTATAATGTCCAGGATCAATTAAACAAACTAAATCTAACATTCCATTGTCCCATTCTTCTGTTTCTAGTTTTGTTACTAATTTTTCTATTTTATCTCTTAATTTCTTTGCTTCTTTACCCGAAACCAAAACTCTGAGTCTCATTTGAGCTCGTTCAAGTGGCATTACAGCTTTTAATTGAGGAATCACATCTAAAGCTTGCTGTTTTGCATTTCGATTTGGTTTTACAGAAAAATGTACATCTTTCATAGCTTTTTCTATCATAGTTATCGTATATGGACGTTTAGTTTCTGGATTTATACATTTATTAGCAACAGTTGTGGCAATATCTTTAAACATAGAATCTAAAGCCGAATGCCTTTCTTTGTCAGAAACTTGAAGTTCTCCTTTTGTGAGAATTTCTTTACAAATTTCTGTTTGATTATCTGTACCAAAAGCTTTTATAAGATCTTCTTTTTTTGCTACTTGACCTTTTGAAACATTTATAAATACAGTATGTGTTTGTAAAACTTCATCAATGTCTTTTTCTCTGAAATATAATTTTGTTATTACAATTATTAATAAAAAATAAAATATATGTGTAAGAAAAAAATAAAAAAGGAAAAAGAGAATACAATGACAAAATTTATTTAGGTTAGATGTCAAGTATATATCAACAATGTAACGTACATTTTTGTTTTGATCGGCTGTCAAAGACTTACAGTTTATTTCTCCAAGAGATAACCTTGTTTCTATAACAAGCGATCTCAAATCGTTTTCCTGCTTTTTTCATACGAACCACGGCCACATTGGTTAATCTTATTTGATTCGTTGGTGTAAAAATTTTAGACGATTTCAACATTTTTTAGCAAGTATGTATATACGTGACTATAAAATTATAATTCACGTAATTTGTATAGTATTCTTTTTATTTTATATACAATCTTATCTAACAATAAGTCTTACGGATGTTTCAAAGCGATTTCGAATTCTCGATTTATAATCGAATGATTATCACATACAACTTCCTTTGCAATATCGATAGATTTTTGAATTGTTTTAAAACGTAACTCTATTGATGTAATATAAAAAATTACATTTATAATATTTATTTAAAATTTAAAGGATAATTTTGAATATTAACTTTTAAATATGCAATTAAAGATATTTTTTTTTAAAACACAATTATAATTATAAATAAATATATTATTAAGTATGTTTATTAATTATATAAAAATCTATGTAAATATAAGTATAAATTTATAAGAAATTAAAATTAATTTTGTGAAAATCATGAAAAATAAAAAATTTTATATCGATACAATATAATATTAGAATATTTCTTGATAAAATTTATCTTTAAAAAAAAAGAAAATTTTTTATATTTATTTCAGTTAATAATAATATAAATTAAAAGTACAAAATATAATATTTAAAAATAAAATTTATTATTTTTGTTTTAATCATGAAATTTCATAACTTTCCGTTTCATAATGTTGGTAAAAAAATCAAAAACTGTATGTTAATATAAAAAATAAAATACGAAATTATGAATTAATTCAAAATTATATGATTGTAAAAAAGCTATAGAAAAAAATGATAGTTCGAGATTTCGAAAAATTATAATTTTCTTTATTTATGGTATATATGTAAAAATTATATAAATAACATCATCAGATTTCTACATGTTGTTTAATTTTCAAGTTACTTTATTATTTAAACAAATGAAAAAGTATTAGTCACATGACGTCATTATACGATAAGCAAAATCGCGGGCGGTGCGCACGCCGTGATTGTACGCATGCGCAGACTGACCGCTACGTTAGACTGTATCGAATATGGCTGCCGCGAGCGTGATGCCGTTAGAAGTGCGTGAAAAATGATCGTTTTTTCGTGGTTTAAACGATCCGATCGTTTTTACGTGAGTGCACAGTGGCAGTGAGTGTTATCTCCAACATTTCAACATCGTGGGAGGTCCTTATCATGGCGTTGGTTACCGTGCAGCGGTCTCCAAGTGTATCCAATTCCCCGCAGAGTTCGGTGAGTTTTTCTGCTTTGTGCGTCTTTGTCGATAGTTGCTGTCAATTTTAACGAAGAATCCATTGTTTGCAAATTTATTGCTATCATTATTCGAAACTATGGATTCTAAATACATCAGAAATTGTTTGGCTTTATTCAAATAACATTTTCTTATTTGATTTATTATTATACAATCAATTGAGAAAGAAAATTTTGATAATTTGAAATTCTTTTTTACATAAACGTACATAATGACAATAAAAGGAAAAAACTTATGATCACGAAAAAACTATGATATGTTTTGACATTTCTTTCTGATTAAACACAACGTTGCACGAGTTCGTGGTTAATTGTCACTTATCTAATTCGCAAGAATCACATATCTTTCTATTACAGCTCGTTTACAAAAATCTGTATCTAGCAATTTATTATACAAAATAACTGCATGCAATTTATTATCATTTCTGATATTTTTGTATCTCCTTGAATTATGCGTTTATACGATTGTACACGATTGACACGTATACATACATGTAGATACAATACAATTTATTTAATGGTTTATTAAGAAAAATTGGATATCATATTGAAAAACGAAAGCAGGACACATAGAATGAATATTTCTTATTTTCATAAATTTTGTTAAATTATTATCAATTAATTATTAATTAGATTGTTTTAAATTATTAATAATTAATAATCGAAAGGTATAAGAATATTTCCAGTTAAATAATTAGTTTTTTGTAATATATACAACGATAAACGGTAATTCGGAGTTAAATAGTTGATTTGTTTATATTAATTTCATCGATAACGTAAAGTTTCATTGTAATATTCCAAATTCCAAAGTCGTGCAGTTTTTTTTACACGTTCATTGTTGTTGAAAAAAGAAAACATGTTTCTTCTTTTTCGTTTCATTTTCCGAGATGTTTATCGTTATTTCACATCGAAATCGAAGTATCGCGATCTACCAGTTGTTTATACACATATATGCGTGTAATATAGTTAGCGTTGCAACAGTGGCTGTTTCAGTATTAATTGGTTTACTCCACCTCGTCACACAATATACGGGAGCGACGAAAGAGAGTTGAGAAAGAGAGCGAAAGGAACACGTGGTTCTAGTGTATATGTATGTATTCAAGAACGAGTACCGTGACGAGCGTGTTTTCTTTTCTTCGACCGATAAACTGATTTTGCTAAAATAAATATGCTGTCTATTCTTGCATTTCGTCAGTTCAACCGTGATGACGATCTCAAACATTTATTTATGCCACGTGTTCTGATTACGAGTTTAGCCGAACTTTCAAACAATTATTTATATTTTTACAATCTCAAAAAAAATTGTTAATAAAATATTGTCTGATTAAAAAAAATCTCTTCTTAAATTTTCGTCTAGTCGTTCATTGTTCGTTTCAAAGTTGTTGAAAAAAATTATGTGAAATTTAACGAAGGAAATAAATTTATCACGAGTATTATGAATAAAATGTCAAATATTATCGATAGAAATAAAAATATATATATATAAAAAATATGCAAAATTTGAGTAAATTCGAAAATTTTATATTTATCAGACATTATATTTACAATTTTTATTATTATAAAAACAAAAAATTCCATTTATTCCATTTTGCAATAGATAGATACACATGCGTATATTTAATCTGCATTTTTCAAGTCAATTTGCTTTCGATATTCCAAATCTCTAATGCGCGAAAATTTTAAAAAATTTTCTATCGAATTTTTAAAACAACATTATTAAGACGCTGAATTCAGACGTGATATAACACGAAAAAATTGATATCAATATGTTATTGTAACACGTTAGGAGCAAAAAAAAAAATTAGAAAAAGTAAATAAAAGCAAATAAAATGTTTATCAAATATCCGATATTTGCTTGTTACTTAAAATTTCAAATAAATAATGATTACAAAACAACCGTAATAACTTACAACCACTAAATTATAATTATACATATACATATTTATACGAAGCTCGTATGAATCCTTTTAATATTTATCAATATTATCGTAAAACGTGATAAATATTTAAGCACCGCTTTGATACTTTATTTCTCTGATAATGAGATGGGAAATGGCGTTTTTTTTTTTTTTTTATCCATCAGGGTCAATTTAACCAGATATGAGAATTTCTCTGTACTCTGCACAGAGAACCGTTAGAGAAGTAATTTTGCTCATAAACACGACTATCAACTAAAACGAGTTCTAACTCTGAAAATGACCTTTTTTTTTTCCTTTCTTTCCCTCTTATGGGTTTCTTACTTGCAACGGACAGATCTCGAGGATTGATACGATTCATAAGGGAATATAAGAGTTGCGTTAAATAGCGTAAAGATATATTCTGCCATATTCGAATTGTATCATTTGTTATTTTATTTAAGAAATAAGTTTCGAAATCATGGATACGGATTTAGGAAAGTTGGAGGGGATGATAATGGCAACGTGGAACGAAAGTTACGAGAAATAGAGCGGAAAGTAGTATTCTTGTGTTTTCAATTTATAAAATAAGAAAATATTAAAAAAAAAAAAAAAAAAAAATTAACTTGTTCGAGTTTCGAAAACGGCAAAAGGAAATCAAATAATTGATAATTGATCCTAAAATTGATAAAGATAAAACGCGCCTCTCTTTTTTTTTCAAATAAATATTTATTATCAAATGATTTCCGGATCATTCAAGAAAATTACGATCTCTCGATCGATGATGCATCTCCTATCCCATCTTTGATTTTATATATATTATTAAGAAATATATAGATAATATTATAAATATATTATAAATATAATAATATTAGAAATATATTAATAAATTACTTGGCAATTACGATACGAATTCGCACGATAATTCGCGCAAACGGGCGTACTCGATCTCGAATCAATGGAGAAATGGGGTAGAGGAAATAGTTGAATAAAATTAAAATTATTTGGGTAAAAAATTGGGATTGCGTAAGCGATGGAATTTTGTGAAGGGACAGAGATATGGAAGAATCTGTGAGAACGCGATACAATGAGAAATCGAGGGGGATGACTAACTGTCGGGGCCCCTCGAGGAGCGAGGGAGTTAGGAAAGAGGAGGGTTCGCGTTTCCCGGCATATATACTTTGCATGCGCTCAATGCTCCGCGGCCTACCAAGTGCACTCACCATCCGAAAGGGTAAGTTGCATTTTTCTAACGTGTCCAGAGGGGGTGAATTCGACAGGGGACACACACAGCCCTATTGATTTTTAAGGGCTCGTTTTCTGCATCGTACGCACGACTCGTAAATCTTGCTTTACTGTGTAAAAAGCTCCGTACCGAGTTATTTTATTCCTTAGTTTATCCTTGCTTACCTTGCGATAACGTAGAGTAGATCAATTGCTTCGCGCTTCGTTGAGATTTTTCGAGATTTCGATGCGATATTTTAGAAGGAACGACAGACAGGATAACGTTTAGCGAAGCTTTTCGTTTCGTTGGTTACGAAGAATCGAATATTGAAAAAATTGGTACCAATTTCCAATCCATCGACGTATATATAAAAGTTTACGTATACGTTTCGTATAATATTTTGTTTCAAATTTTCGACCATCTTAAAACTAACCTATTCGTCCATTATTGCTCAAAAAATATCTCTCATAATAATTAATTGTACGATCATTGATATAATCGATTTCGTAGTTGATTTGATCTCAATTAATTATTTTTAAATTATATCTGTACACAGGAGATGTTTAAGCGAATAAATTAAACGTGCTTCGCATATATCGTAGTTGTATTCGTCAAAATTTTTTGCGAAACGATCGAGCGTGATATGCGATATATATGTGGATAAATGGAAATGGAATTTTGATGGATGATGATATAGATACCGGTGACATTAACCATTGTTGCTTTAATGTTCGAATTATCGCGACACAACGACCCGCGAAAGACAAGTGGCTGGTACTTGGAAGCACAATGCGTAAAATCGTTTAACA